ACAACAACAACAACAACAACAACAACAACAACAACAACAAAAAACCCAATGAAATTATACAAGTGGGGTCTGGGGAGGGTAATGTATATGCAAACTTTATCCTTACCTATAGAAAAACAGAGAGATTGTTTCCGATAGACCCTCGTCTCAAGAAAGATAAAAGGAAGAAGCAACAACAAGTAAACCCATCAGAAAACAGAATCGATAATACAAGACTAACACTGAATGGTGCAATGAGAAATCGAAGCGAAAGAAATAACAAGTAATAACAGAAATCTAACAAATAAGAAAATACAAGAATAACACTGAGTAATGCACTAAAGCTACTGGAACGCGCAAGGACAATAATTTCTCAGTGTTTGAATCCTCTTTACATTGAACAAATCCATCATCACATTTGCAAATGAATAATAATAATAATGAGAATCAAATAATTGTCTTAGCTTAAGGCACTACAACCCAATCAAACTTGTAATAATTTTAAGCAATTGGATAAGAAGCTTTCATAGCAATTCCACAAAGTCCTGTTTTAGCAACAATATCTCTTTTCATTCTAATGTATCCATTTTCACCCCAACTAACACCCCATGAATTCTTCACAATCCAATATTTTGTACCATCTTTAGTTGCACCATAACCAACTGCAACGACACCATGATCTAATTCAGTTCCACATTTTCCAGTAAAAATGCCACTCGAGTAGAACTGAAAGTCCGATCCACTAGCATCAATCGCGACAGATACAGGTTGATTCGCAACAGCTTTAAGCAAAGCCGATTCACTATTTTCTGGAACATCTTTGTAACCACTTATTTTCGCGATATGATTCGATTCTTTTTCAGTTTTACAAGTGCCATCAATTCCTTTATATGGATAATTAGATTCTGAAGTAAGACCATGATTTTTAATAATGTATTTAAATGCATCATCCATAAGACCTCCTTCACATCCCTGATTTGAATTTGTGTCGCAATCAACTAGTTCTTGCTCGGATAATGATATCAATTTTCCTGTTTTGATCTTGTTAATTCCTTCTGTAGCAGCCACAGCAGAAAATGCCCAGCAACATCCTGCATTTTTACCTTGTCTTAAATAATTCTCCAAGTAATAGTGTAAAACGGAAAAAATATTTACGCCAGTATATGCAGAGGCAAATCTAAAATTTTGAGAATATGGGTGCACTATTAAAAAAAGGAGAAAAATTGTATTAAGTGGGAATCAATATATGTTTTGGGGGTAAATAGCTCAGTATTCAACTAAGTGCACC